GGAGTCCATCAAAAATCAAAATCTCAATTAATTATTGATTTCGGTCAAAAAATCAATTTAATTAAATATTAAATCAAATATCAATTTATTTAAGGGAACATTTAAAATAGGATACATGTATATAAGACATTTATTTATAAATACATTCCATGAATTTTGTAAAAATATATTCCATCTATTCAAAAATATAAGGCATTTTTGAGGAGTTGAATGTTCAAAAATGTAAAGCATTTCTAGTCTTTCGATGTATAATTATTGCCCTTTTCTAAAAGTGTCCCTATTGATAAATGATTTTATATTTATTGTAGGGTGTTTAATAAGATAAATATGAAAAAATAGAGTTAGTTTGAAAGTAAATAACTATTTTATTAAGAGTGTCATTCAGTTAAAAATGTCTTACATTTTTGAATGAAGGATATTCAAGTTTTAAGAGATTTGCTTGAATTATTTTACCATATAAAATGTTATCAAAAAAAAAATTTACCGCATAAATAAAATGACAGATCATATCTAGCACCCCTACCACTTAAAATCTCAATTTCAAAGGGACTTTGTAAAGAGTGATTTTAAAATTAAACATCTTGAGAAATGGTATTAATGGGCCAAAATATAAGGATTGAAGATTTGATGTCCTACGAGGGTGGATGTGGCAAGAAGAGCCATAACACTCACTAACCAATTTCATTTATGATTTTTTTATATAATTACCTATTATTTATGCACTAGTCAAGTATAATGACATTGGGTAGTAAAATTCTTCTAACGAGTGTTGACACCACTAGTTAAACTAGTACAATTCTTTATTAATTAAGGTACGTACGTGCTTGTTGGTAATATGCTATGAATTTTAACATGTGCAATATAACAATGAACAGAAAGGTTAATGTTAAGAGTTTGGTCGTTTAACCTATCATCCTATTTGTTTGCAAATAAAGCGTGAAATATAACTAAAATAATGTTTGATAGTGGTATCATCTCATGAAACATCTCCTCAAATCAAAACACAAGAATCCCAAAAATGCATCACTAAGAATATTGATAAATTCTATGATCTTCTTGATCTTTTCCTCTGCCAATATAAGTTTTGTAATTATTTCCCACGAGTGATAACTAAAAATTAAGCCCTCTTCGCTTTTTTTTTTTTCCCTTCACATCTTTCATTTTGAAAGGATTTCTAATAATTTCTTGCCCTTTCTCTTAAAAAATGTCACAAAATTTTTTAAGCAAATTTAAAATTTATTAGCCGGACAAAAATTAAAATGTCACTCCTAAAGTTATCAATTAATTTCAACCAAAAACTTCAAAATGATAAATTTGGCCATGACGTTCACTTTTTGTTATTGGAGCTGCATTATTTTTTTTTTCTTAAAGTATACTCACAATCGACAGCTATGAAACTAATCACTTGAAGAATCTAATTACCATTTAAGGGGTTATTCACTTTCAGTCAATATTCTCTATAAACTTCTCTAAAAATCAAACCTCCGAAAGATTTTACACGTGATGGATGTGAGAAAAATGATAATTTCATTAACGAATTTAAACCCAACTTAAGTTAAAATTCCTTGTATATTTAAATTTTTTAAATGGGATGCAAATTTTACCATTAAATAAATAAATATTATTAAAATAAGACTAAATCATAGTTATAGGTATATAGAAATTGTTTGAAAAAATTACAAAAAAGGGGACAAAAAACTATCATTTCCAAATTTATGAGTCGTTCGTAACTGCCACAATGTAATTCACCGTGGTAAATCACGCTAAAGTTAATTTATCTATATAATAGTCAACGTTCTATACAAAAATAATAGAGATAATTTGCTTAAAATTTTAAAGTTTAAGGTTCATGATGCTGCTACTCATGTACTAGTTTAGAGGGTGAGCATTCTTTCATCTTCCTTTCCCATCCTCTCCTTCTCTTCATTTTCTAACCATTAAGATTAACATTTGGATGGTTTGAGATTTAATATTTTATAAATATATATTTTTTATTTGGTTTAACTGCAATTTTAAACTACCAAATTAAAAATTTAGGAATTTAAGTTCGATCATTTATCTTTTCTTATAATTTAACATTTAAATAATGACTTTCACAAGATATCAAAATTGAGAAGTCCAAATCTTGATTTGATAGTTGGAAATTGAAAAGAATTGAAGAAGATGGTAAGAGAAGAGGAGAGAATCCACTTCTTTAGTTTAGGATTGTGATGCTCGTTAACAAATAACACATCAGTAAGGGATTGTCACATCAGCATTGATTGGGCTTCAGGTGAATAATAATGAGGCTAAGAAAGAGTTAACCGTGGGAATAATTTACTTTGAATTTAAGAGTTTATAATCTATTTTATATATTTTAAAAATTCAGGATTTAGGGCGTTTTTCGCATAAGATTTCAAAATTCAAAATGCTCATTAACCCAATATAATATGGCCAAATACAAATAGTGTTAAAGGAGGAAGCTTTGGAGAAAATTACATTCAAGAAGACTTAAAAGATCAATATGCCATAGAAGATAGGTATGCATTGAATGTTTTATGTTAAGCAATTTCGCCTCCCCTCTCCATTTTCTTCTTTTTTATTTTAAATTTATTTAATAATTAAAGTTATAAACGGATACAGAGTGAATATGTGAAATATAATTTTTTATTCGTCCATTATATAATCAAATTTGACCCAAAAAAATAATATAATACAATATGATTTAACAAAAACTTTACTAGATGTGAATCCATAAATTATACAAATTAATTCTGTTTATAGTTTATAGATGATAAAGCAAGTTAGATTTTTTATATTTTATGTTGATATCAATAGGGGCTATCATCTAGCCTGGTTACCTAGCATGCATAGCCCATCTCAAAATAAACATCCTAAAAGAATTTGAGCATGTTCAAGTTGGACTCAACAGTGGGCAAGGTAGGCATCGAGCATTTATACTACCTTGCCCATTTGTTCACCCAGGGGTTTATATAATTATATATATATATATATATATATATTCCCTATGTAATACGCACATGTCTTTTTTTTTTTGGGATTATGTTATTAATTTCTAGTGTGACATATAACCATTATATTCGTATTAAGAAAAATTGAAAAAAACTATATACTTAATATTATATATTCAAGATATTTCTTTTCAATTAAGTGAAGATATTTGTATTATTATAAATTATTTATTCCATAATAAATTCTTGTTATTAATATTATTGATACATTAAAATTTACTTATTTGATTTAATTGAATAAAAGTACATTATTGTATAAGGCTAAGTATAATAAATATTATCTAAGAAAATAATGACTTTGCATTGTTCGAAACTCTATCATAAATCATAAAAGAAACATAATATGCAAATTCTTATAATTTTCTCAGGATCTTTGAATATTTCTTTTTTTCAAAAAAATAAAATAAAACTAAGAAACATGTTCAGCCCAAAATGTTTGGACATCCCATGACAGAAATGATAATGATTATAAGCCTTTACCTGGTACAGGTTCCTTCACAACAATAATTGTTCCATCATAATTCCTTTGGCCAACGTTCCACCAGATTAACTTTATAGATATAAGTATAGAGTTCATCTTCCCTAATGCAAGAGGTAATTTTGAGTTTAATATGATTGATAAATAATGCAATACGCTGATAACTGTGAATGCGTTGGTGTATATAGCATATGTGCAAGGCCTTTTTTAAAAAAAAAAAAAATAGTGTGGAGTGTTGACAATCATCCTATCTTTCTGCAAATAAAGGGTTAAATATAACTAAAATAATATTAGATAGTGGCATCGTCTCATGAAAGCATCTTCCTCAAATCAAAACACAGAGAATCCAAAAAATATGCAAAGAATTAACCCTCGTTGCAAAAGCATGTCAGCTTATGTGCCATGAATTGCATATGCAAAGAAATATTTTTCAATATAAATCTGACAAATGACTTTTTTTTTTTTTGGGAATCAAACTGAAGTGCAATCATAACTATATAATGAAAAAAGATAGTCAAGAGCAGAGCCAAATGATTCATTGTTCACCCCCTTCAGCTAATCAAGATGGGAAATGATCCAAGGTACAAAAAATGCTCGCGATAGCATGAGCTTTCCTAGCTAAAAAGTGAGCATTGCTAATAAAATCCATCCCTATAAACAAAATTGGTGTCAAGTATCCCTACATTCACCATTCTACACTACTCCTCTAGAGGGCATAAGGATTAGAAATAAAGTCAAATCATCACAATTTTGATGGATTCAATACCACCAGCAATCCTAAAGCAAATATGCAAAGTAATGATTAAGATTCAGGATTAATGCTATTCGATGTTTCTGTTGCCAATAGGTACAAGACTTTCTGCATAATTGAAAGTAATTGATAAAGAATCGCCACATCTGCAAGAAACAAATTTCTCTAATTCATCAGTATTCATATTTAACAGATATAGAACCGTTGTCATTCCAAGCTGAGAAGCATCGGAGATAATTTTGTCCAACCAAATGCCCCTTAGAGACATGTAAGGATTGGGGCCCATGCTCACAGTATATTTCTTACTCCAATTCCATCTCTCCTCAGATGGACTTGCACTCTCTTCCATCGCCCACAATTCAACCACATAAGGTTCATAGTTCCAAATATTAAAAAAGTATAGCTAGTTGATTCTGATGTACAGTAAGCGAGCCACGTAAATCACGGTCTGATAATGCTGTAGGCTGTGGTATCAAGGTAAACACTTCCGTTGCTATGTCAAATGAAACTATTATCCATTCAATAACATCATCTTTACCCAAACCACCAAGCTCAACGATCCTATCCCCATACCAAAAAATAGCTCCACGAACATTGATTGGAAAAAGATGAAGAGACACCCCACCAAACTCCTCCATGACCCTGTATTCAATGAATACACTTCTACTACTAGATCATCCTCAGAATCAAACGCAGTTTCATGAGATACCACTATCTTGTAATCATTAACAATTGGACTGAACCCAAATGCGAATAAATCATAATTAGAATCAATATCGTCGTGCATAATTCTTGGCACCTGTCTAATCTCTCTGGTGGCAGGATTCCACAAGAAAAGGGAAGGAAGAAAAGGAAGTGGTGCACCATAACCAGTGCTAACACAGAGCAAGCCGTTGCTGCAACCAACGATCCTAGCATACCGTAAGGAATCTACCATAGGCGACGACTGAATTTCAAGAACCTGCATCTCATAATTGAGCATATACAAGTGCAGAGGATCACACCTGAAGTCCGACTGCAAAAGAAGCAAGGGGTTTTCATTAGTGGAGTGGTGCAAGCGTTCTGTGATGACAGAGTCGGTCTTGATGAGTTTTTTCCAGTGCTTGCAGACACATTGAAATCGGATTAGGGATTTCACAGGAAGCCGTGTGAGAATGTTTCTGATGATTTCTTCCGGAAGAAATGGTGTGTCGCCATCCACCGCAGTCAGTTTCATGGTGCTCGATTGGAAGAGAGCAGTGGAACCTCGGCCATCACAAAAGGGCGTTATGGTTTGTCCGTTTATGTTTATATTTAATAATTTTTTTGGTCGACCAATATTACAATAATTACATATGTTACACCCAAAAATCAATTACATATTATTATTATTATTATTATTATATATTAAACATTATGTACTTGATTTATTAATATTTAAGTAATGATGACTTTATTTTATAAAATCATTTCGAAATTTAAAATTTTAGCTAATTTCCAAACAATAGTTTAAAATAATTAATGGGATTTTAATGACAAATTCAATTGTTATCAATTGGGATACCTATTTTATTTTATATCTAAATAAATATAAACAGAAAACACGTTTAAAATCGCTTTAAGTGATCAATTTTTTTTTTATTTTGATGAATAAGAGGTTAAAATATTTAGTTATTTATTTATTGAGTAAGATATAATGACCTCTTTTTTATTTTGTTAAAGTTACTCTTCTATTTTTAAAACCCTTTAATTCAAATTTTAACACCATTATGTATATTTCATTAACAATGTTAAAATACTTAATTTTTTATTTGTAATTATATTGAAAATTTTAAAATTATTAATTTCCCCTTATAATTTAATTGTCTACACTCCCTCTAATTTAAGTAACTTTAAATAAAAATATAACAATATTTAAACAAAAAATTTTAAAACATTGTATTAAAATTATAATTTTTAAAAAAATAAACATAAATCATATTGATTATTTTATCTCTTATTATATTAAATCCCAATTTTATTAAGTTATTTTTGTACATGTCTTATTGTGTTGATATATTATTTTATCCAACTTATTTTTTTATTTTTTTAAAAAATAATAAATAAATAAATAAATAAGCTTGCATAACTAAAATATAAATATATCCATTAAAATTTGTTGGATAGCTTAAACAAATTTTAGACAACATTTATATTTAAAGAAAGATATTTTGGTCTGACATATTCGACTTGATGTAATCAATTCATGAAAAAGAGGAGATAAAAGGAGGAGGAACAAGCATGGAAATGGAGTTTAATCACACCAAGAAGCCTTCACCTTCAAAGGGCAACAAAACAATAAACATAATTACTGGCAAAAGCTTCAATGAGTATTCCCAATCAGAATGGAAATTGAATTCAACGTATTTCTGCTGAAGAATTTCCCATTCATTTTCACACATCCACAATGGTACTGTCAAATTAATACCTCGTTCTCTTTGAACCCAAGATATCAACCTTTGCCACTATCCTTAAATGATCAGATGGCTATGAGGCCAGAGAACAATAAGGTTGAATGCATGTTTCTTTCTTTTATGTAAATTTGTGAAGGAACCACATCATAATATCATGATTCATGTGAAGAGAAAGATAGATATAATCAGAGACGGATCTAGAATTGAATCTATGGGAGGGCCAAAATGCATAATTACATCACAATGGGAAGCTAAAATGAGTTTTTAACATTTTTAACCAAAAACAACAATGTAATTTTTGAAGTTTTTTTTCATCTGTCCTTAGATATGATGTGTGAAACCCACACACTCTGAAGAGTTCGTCATTCAACGTGTTCAAGTGTCTAACATTACATGACATCGTTATGTAAATATTGTCACATGCATGAATCCAATCAATTTTGCACTACTATCATTCTTGGATGATAATGTCATGTGGGCAAATAAGATAGGGTTAAGGGGTAAAAATGCTTTGAAAATTCTCTGAAAGGAGAATTGAGTATTTTTATATTTTAATTAGGGTAATTTTACCCCATTGTTAAATCTGGGGAATGTGCACCATTAAAATTAAAATTTGACTGAATGAAGAACAAGTGGCACTCATTGATTTGTCCTCAATTCTTTCCCTCTGTCTCTGAACCGTTCCTTTTCTCCATCTTCTTCCTTATTCCTTAGACTTTCTATTTTACTTTTTTTTAATTTATTATTGCATAAGGTTCTCCCCTGCGAGCTAGCTTGCACACTGCCATCATTATCGAGCTTGTGATGAAGGTGGTGAACAGTGCCATTAATAAACATATGACAAATGTATGGTCATTCAGTACCTACACTCAATGAAATGTACATGCTCGAGTGAGTTCATTCATTAGTGGAATACAATTCCATGAATGGCGAATGGACTAATTAGAGGGACATGCATTGTTAAATTAGGAGAATAGATTGTGAGTACCTTTGTGATCCTTGCCAATGTTGAGAACAATGACCTCTACCAAGCCTTAGGTGTTCATAAGAAAACTAAGAGCAAGGGCTTCTTGAAAAGGCATTCTACAGATGACGGCCACAATAGCTGTGCCAACAATCTTTCTAAATCAAGGAATAAATATGACCAGACCACGAAGTTCCTTTGCTTATGGTTGCCACATTTGTCTTCAACCCACTAGAGACAAAATAAAGAGGTAGAAAAAGGCTAGAGATGATGTCCTCAAGCTTCTCGATTAAGACCCCAACAAAAGGACCATCTTTGGGCATGGCAATGCCAATCACAAACACCCTAGACAAGACATGAATGCCAATAGTAGGGTGAAATTATTCCCTTTTCTAAATCCTTTTCTAAAATTTTAAAGCAAAATTACTCCAATTAAAAAGTGAAAGCACTTGGTGCTCATTTCAGAAAATTTTTGAGGGCATTTTTGTCCCTAAACCCTATAAAGATATATACATAGAGACACATTCTGGTCAACTCATATGCTTTGTGTTCATTGTTCGAGAGGGACACAAATCCCTTTCTGTTTGGTGCTTCAAGGATTCTTAAACTTAGAAAAAGTATCATCAATTCTTACATTTTTCCCTTTCCTGACTCAATTTATAAATTATAACAGTGGGGACTTATCAGCTTAGATGTGTCTAATAATATTATTGGGTAGTTTGTATTTGATTTTGTATCATCATAACTATTAGCAGATCATTACTTTGTTTCTAATTCTTCCTATCTTAGATAGATCTCTTCTATCTTAGTTTCTAGATATTCATTTGAACCTGACACGATTACAATTATATAACTGCGATGAGGGTTTTTATCTCCTGTTGGCCCAAAAAAAAGAATGAGGGTATTTATCAATATTTTCAAAACTAAACCAGACATTGAAACGGTGACATAATAATTAAATTAAAAAAATTATATATGTATATAATAATCTAAATATAAAAATAAATATGAAATTTCTATTGAACTTAAAAATAAAACAAAATATTTTAAGTATATCATGAATTAACAAGTCATATGATACAACATAACATCAAATAATTAAAAAAATTACTCATTTTCTAAAAAAAATTGATGAAAAATTTTTAAAAAAGAAAGGGCATTTTTTTGAACAGTCCAATTTTTTAAAATTGGACTTGATTCTCGGCTTGATCCTAATTCTTGGTCCGACCTTCAGTCCAAAGTAGCCCAATTCGACTCAATTCCTCAAATGGTTTTTTCAGCTTGACCAAGCCATTATCCTGACCGATCAACGTTCCAACCGTTTGATTCAGTCTAATTTTTTAATCATTAGTATTTATAAATAATGAAAGACACTCTAAGACATCTTTATGTAATTAGTCATAAATAAGAAGACACCTCTTATTTAATTATTAGAATAGACAACCTTAAATCGAAACTATCTGCTTCTCTTAATAAGTAGATACCTTTTAATAATCCAATTTCAGAAATTAGTATTAAAATTAATTCAAATTTTGATTTATTAATATAAAATTGGCATTTCAATAAATAAAGATAAATAACATTTTGAATTGATGAAGATGCATGAAATGGAAGGAAAGGAAGGGAAAATTTCCAACAGCAAACATGTCGGGCATGTAAAGGAAATGAACGGAAATTAATGAAGTGCCCAAAAAAAAAAAAAAACTAACAAACATTTGAATTAGGAAAGAATGGTTCATGGAAAGCCTTATATAATTCATACACTAGGATTTGAATCAGGAAATCGATCCTCTGAAGTTGATAATCTATTAATTTCATGAAACTTACCATTTAAAAAAAGAAAACAGAGAAAACTAAACAACTTGATATCATGAACATATCCAAAAAAAAAAAAAACCTAGAAATCTCTTGTACTAATTCATCATCTTACACAACATCTCTAGAAGGCACAAGGTTTATAAATACAGTCAAATGATCCAAAATGTGGCGGATTCATTTCCATTGTAAGTCCTAAAACAAAGGAAATATGCAAAGTGATAATTAAAATTCAGGATCTTCAATATGCAAATTGCCAACAGGTAACAGACTTTCTGCATAATTGAAAGTAACTGATAAGGAATAGCCACACCTGCGAGTATCAAAGTTTTGTGATTCATTAGTGTTGATATTTAATAAATATAAAACATACGCTTCATACGGATAATAGGAAATAATTTCATCCAACCAAATACCACGTGGACAAATGTAATAATCGGTGCTTATACTATGTTTTTTGCTCCAACTCTATCTCTCCAGAGATGCGCCAACACCCTCCTCCATCACCCACAAATCAATCACAGAAGATTCATAGTTCCCAATCACAGTATGAGAAAATATAGCGAGTTGGTTCTCATATAGAGTAAGACTACCATGTGCACCAAAATCTAATCCAGCAGGCAGTGTTAGCAATGTAAACACTTCCATTGCTATGTCAAATGAAAGTATCATTATTTCAACAACATTAATTTCTTCTTCATCGCCACATTCAATCACCCTATCCACAGACCAAAACATAGTTCCATAAGCAGTAACAGGAGAGGAACCATGAAAATCCACCCCAGGAAAGTCCTGAAATTCTATTTCTAATTCCTTCCATGATCCTGTACTTAATGAATACACTTCTATCCGATTAAACACAGAATCAAACTCAAGTTCATGAGATATCACTATCTTGCCATCATTAACAATTGGACTGAACCCAAATCCAAATATGTCAAAAACGATATGACCAAATCCCTTATATATAGGTCTGGGCACCATTCTGACCCCTCTAGTGGCAGGATTCCACAAGAAAAAGGAGAGGAAAACTGCATTTTCATCTCGAACACACAGTAACCCATGGCTGCAGCCAACAATCTTAGCCAGCAATAAGGAATCCATCAAAGAAGGGGGCTGAACTTCAAAATGTTGCATCTCGTAATTGAGCATATGTAAGTGCAGAGGATCACATCTGTCATCCCATTGCAAAAGAAGCAAAGGGTTTTCATTACTGGAGTGATCCAAGTGCTCTTGGATGAAAGATTGGGTCTTGATGAAATTTTTCCAATGCTTGCACACAAATTGTAATCGGATTTGAGATTTTACCGGAAGCAGTATGAGAATGTTTCTCATGATTTCTTGTGGAAGAAATGGTGTGTTGTCATCCGCCGCACTCTGCCTCATGGTTCTCGATTAGAAGGGACGAGGGAACGCTTTGCAATCACAAGAGGCCAGTAGGCCTTTGGTACGCAAGTCTCAATTTAGAAGGATTGAGATTGAGATTAAGATTGTGATTGGGATTGAGATTGAAATTAAGAGTGGAAATGAAGTTTTAAAATTATGTTTGGCATGGGATAATATTTGTGAGGAATACTTTCTTTTATTTTATTTTATAATTACATATAAATTAGGAAAAGACAATATTAGACCTCTGGGGAAACCATAGGTTCTGAAGCAATTTGAGTCGTTCTTTTTCATGAACCAATTGAACAATTTTTGCTGCCAAGTCCATCACATTTCGGAACTCGTCACACTTCAAGAACAAGTGCAGTGACTTCATCTAGTCAATTGGATCCCGCCAAGGTTGTCATTGGTCTGCCAATTTCCATTTACGATGCTCTCAGCTATGCAATGAATTTTGCAGATCATGCCTACATTAACAACAAGGTACGTCGGTGACTTAATCAAGTGTGGTTTTGTGGCAAGGTTGCCGACGTCACTGCCATCTACAAGGGTTTAGGTGGCTGTAACTTAGTTTTATGTCATGTAGGAGAGGCTTGGGTCATCAATCATTCTCCTTCTCCCATCTTTGGTCTCCTTCTCCCATCAAATTTGCCAGTTGCATCAACGAATGAGAGGGTCGTCGATGAAGGACGACGTTGACATTAGCAGATGAGAGGGGCGTCGGTGTTGGTGTTGTAACATTCTAAAAATTAACCTAAAGTTAATTAAGTTAATTTAGAGCAAATGAGTAATTTTGAAGAAATATTTAGATATAAATAATTTTAGTTAGAAGATTATTATTGAATTTAATTTAGATTAAATCCTAAGTTATGATTTTATAGTAAATAGAAATAGTAATAATAATATTATTATAAAAAGAAAGAAAGAAAGAAGAAGGAAAAGGAACATAAAATAAATTAAAAATTGAAGAGGGGAGAGAGAAGTAATTTTTGCTTTGAGTGTTCAAGTGTAAATAATGCCAAAAAAAAAAGTAAACTAAAGGGGTGGGGCAGAAATTTCCGTGCGTGTATTTGGTGTACATTATTATTATTATTGTAATAATAATAATGAGAAGGAAAGAAAGACGTGTGAACCCCACAGTTTTCTTTTGAAAAAGCAACACATCTTATTCTTTTTTTTATTTTCTTCATTCTTTCTTCGTTCCTTCTTGCGCGACAGAGAGAGCGAAAACAGAGACAGCAAACGCGACGCCTGCGACAGAGCTAAAGTAGAAGATAGGGCTCCATAATAAAATATTTCAGATGAGATTTTAAGTATTCTAAGATTAGGTAAGTGTTCTAAATATTTTTTTCTTAATTGTTTTTCCCTTTAAGCTATAGATTTTGATATTTTGAAAAACCTAGGATTTGAAAGAGAGATAAATTTTGATGAGTAAATCTGATTATTGAGATTGTTGGTAGTGTAATAAATATTTTAGAGTATTATTTTGTTGATAGAATTGGAACTTGAGGCATTTGAGTTTATCCCTAGATCCCTATGGGTAGATTTTTGGTTAAATCTAAAAATATAAATTGATTTGTTGATATTTAGATGATTATTTGATATGAGAAATAAATTATTATGACTATAGAATAATGATTCTAGGCTTGAAATTAAGTTTGCAATTTTTGAGTATTTTTATGTGCGAATTTTTGGAATAAAAAGAGAAATTTTGATATTAGAAAATTATTTGAATGAAATTATTGTAAAGGAGACTATTGAACCTAGTAGATAGATTCAAATACATGAAATTAAATTTTAAAACTTAAGAGGCTAAGACTAAGGTCTTACAAAAATAAAATAAAATAAAATAAATACTTAGGTGTTAGAATATGAGTGAAAATTGTGTTAATAATATTATTGACACATTAGGATATGATTAATTGTAGATTAATTTTCTTTTGACACCATTCAAGCTTTGGAAAGCTTTGGAAGTGTTGTAACTTGAGGGCTAACCTTTGACCTCTCAAAGGTTGAGGTAACCAAGGCATATCTAAGTTATACAAATGCATGATAATTAATTATGAATACAAGTAGCCAATAAATTTATCAAAGTGACCATTCAAACAATCACATTAATAACATGTTAACCACATTAACATTTAACTCATGTGAATAATTTTAAGAATAAAGTCAAGTATAAAATTTGAACAAATAGCCACATATACATTATTCGCATAATTACTACATGTTCTCATTTCTACAATTATAATCATATTTTCAACATAGCCATTAATCACTCAAATGGCATGATAGTAATAATATGCATGATTGATCTCTTCCTTATATCCCCCTTATTTCCTCTGACATGAAATCCGTGGGCCAACAACCGAAAGAGATCGTCCATGTGGTGAGACTACCTAAGGCCTTAATCATATCATGAGGGGCTACCGGGTCAAGGTTACCTTACTTACTTATAAATGTGGTTTTCTCCAAATCACACATTATGGAGTGTCATATCCAAAACTAGCTCTACCCAAAACTTCAGGTAGGCTAGTAGGGTCAAGTCCCTTAATAGGAACAATGCTACATACCTTGTAAGGTACCTCAACCTTTGAGAGGTCAAAGGTTAGCCCTAAAGTTACAACACTTCCAAAGCTTTCCAAAGCTTGAATGGTGTCAAAAGAAAATTAATCTACAATTAATCATATCCTAATGTGTCAATAATATTATTAACACAATTTTCACTCATATTCTAACACCTAAGTATTTATTTTATTTTATTTTATTTTTGTAAGACCTTAGTCTTAGCCTCTTAAGTTTTAAAATTTAATTTCATGTATTTGAATCTATCTACTAGGTTCAATAGTCTCCTTTACAATAATTTCATTCAAATAATTTTCTAATATCAAAATTTCTCTTTTTATTCCAAAAATTCGCACATAAAAATATTCAAAAATTGCAAACTTAATTTCAAGCCTAGAATCATTATTCTATAGTCATAATAATTTATTTCTCATATCAAATAATCATCTAAATATCAACAAATCAATTTATATTTTCAGATTTAACCAAAAATCTACCAATAGGGATCTAAAGATAAACTCAAATGCCTCAAATTCTAATTTTATGAACAAAATAATACTCTAGAATATTTATTACACTACCAACAACCTCAATAATCAGATTTACTCATCAAAATTCATTCCTCTTTCAAACCCTAGGTTTTCCAACATATCAAAATCTACAGCTCAAAGGGAAAAACGATTAAGAAAAAATGTTTAGAACACTTATCTAGTTTTAGAATACTTAAAATCTCATCTGAAGTATTCTATTATGGAGCCCTATCTTCTACTTTAGCTTTGTCACAGGCGTCGCGCTCGCTATCTCTATTTTCACTCTCTCTGTCGCGCGAGAAGGAATGAAGAAAGAATGAAAGAAATGAAGAAAAGAATCAGATGTGTTGCTTTTCAAAAGAAAATTGTGAGGCCCACACGTCTTTCTTTCCTTCTCATTATTATTATTACAATAATAGTAATAATGTACACCAAACACACGCACGGAAATTTCCGCCCCACCCCTTTAGTTTACTTTCTTTTTTAGCATTATTTACACCTCAACACCCAAAGTAAAAATTACTTCTCTCCCCCCTCTTTAATTTTCAATTTATTTTATGTTCCTTTTCCTTCTTCTTTCTTTCTTTTTTTATAATAATATTATTATTACTATTTCTATTTACTATAAAATCATAACTTAGGATTTAATCTAAATTAAATTCAATAATAATCTTCTAACTGAAATTATTTATATCTAAATATTCCTTCAAAATTACTCATTTGCTTTAAATTAACTTAATTAACTTTAGGTTAATTTTTGAAATGTTACAAGTGTTGCTTGGTCTGAAAGTGCGTCGACTAAGTAAAGGGCCAAGGGAGAGAGACGAGGATGGGAGGTGAGAGCAATTTGGTTTGAAAATAATTAAACCCATGATTAATTTTTCAGTACCAAAGGGTGGTGGTATTGGATAATCTCACCTAGGTGGGGTTGGGATTAAGATTAAATTTTCAATTCTCTCGTACCAAAATAAAAAGGTGAGATTATTTTAAGATTAAATTTTCCATTCTCTCGTACCAAAATAAAAAGGTGGGATTATTTAATCCCAATCCCAATCCCATACTCCCAATCCTTCCTACCAAATAAGGCCTTAGAGTTTACCGTGATCCTAGCTTTGCATGTTTATATTTATATATTTCACAGCAAAGGTAATTTCATCAAATACTCCCATAATTTACAAAATGTAATACATTTTTTATGATGTTTGAGGTTTAAAAATATAAAAAAAAAATTATCATTTTAAAGTGTAATTATTCTATATTTTTTAAAAGTGTACTTAATTAAAAAAATTACTTTATATTTATGTTAGAGTGAAATGTTCTATTAAATAACGATAAATATGAAAAAATGATATTAGTTTAAAGAAAAGTAATTATTTTATTGAGATGAGATTTAGTTAAAAATGACTCACATTTTTTAATGGATAGAGTATTAGCTTTTCCCTTCATTACCAAAAACAATAAATCATTCTATATTATTTGACCCAAAAAAATCGTTCAACATTAAAAGCATATTTTTTGCCAACCAATATTAAAAGAATTACATATTTCACACCAAAAAAAGGGGAAATGACAATTAGGAATCCCATAAAAATATTAATGATAATTACATACCTTAAATTATTAAAATTCTAATAAGAAATCATGATCCTTAGTTGTCATTAAAAAAATGTAAATACTAAGTTGGAAAATCTACTAATTACATTTAAAACAAGTTGTAATGTCAATTGAAAATTTATGAGAATTAGTTGAGAATATCAATTTTTTGTTATCAATATACAGGTAAATCACCAGAGAAATCAAGTAAATATACTTAAAATTATTTGTAACTTTAATTGAAAATTTACGAGAATTGATTGTGAATCGCTAGCAAATTACTTATGATTTTTTGCTTTCAATATATAAATAAATCACTTTGAAAGTTTACTAAATATACTTGGGATTATTTGTAACATTAGTTAAAAATTTATGAAAATTAATTATGAATTACAAACCAATCACTTGTTATTTTTTGCTTTCAATATATAAATAAATTACTTAAAAAATTTATTAAATACACTTACAATTATTTATAATGTTAGTTAGAAATTTACAAAAGTCAACTATGAATTATAAGCCAATCACTTATATTTTTTACTATTGCTGAGAAAATAAATAAAAGATAGTTAAAAAATTTTGTAGTATTAATTAAAAATTTATGAAAATTAGTTGTGAATCTCAAGCTAATTAATAAAAGATATTTTTTTGTAAGTAAGAATCATGGTCTGCTATTAGAATTTCCATAATTTAAAGTTTATAATTATCATTAATGTTCTTATGGAGTTTCTAATCCTAATTGTGATTTTCCCACACAACAATTACATATTAATAAATAGAAAACATTATGTATTTGATTTAATATTTAGATTACAAAAAATCATCTTGAAATTTAATTTTTTTAGCTAATTTCGAAATTTAATTATTATCAATTGAAATGTCTGTTTTATTTTATATGTTAAATAACCAGGAATGTAAAACACATTTTAAATAATTAATAAAGGATTGGTTCAATTGATAAATATTTTTTTTTTTAACCATCGAACTTACATGTGATGGGCCTTGAGATCTATCAGATCTGTAATATTTATTGAAGTCATGAAAAAGAGGATAAAGGAGGGTGAATAAGGCTGATCTCCACAAGTCATGCAACAAAGATAACAGCCTATAAAGAAGCGAAAGGGGACGGAGGAAAAAAGAAACAAAAATTAGATAAGGAAAAACGTGCATGAAAAATATCAAAATGGTGTTTTAGGGCTTGTCTGATTTTGTTTTTAAAAATGATTTTGTAAACCAATTTTTAAACATTATTCTTTAAAACAAAACAAAATAAAATTTAATTTAAAAACAAATTTAGAGTTAAAAGAACAACTGCCAGGAGTGATCATAGTGGTTAATGATGATGACATTGTCGTGTTAATGCTGTTACAATAATGCAATCGATCTCACATACTACCATTCTTGGATTATAATGTCATGAGAGTATAAAGAGACACACATACACACATTATATATATATATATATATATATATTAGACACTAACTCATGCTATTAATGAAAGATATTGTGTTTTCTTAGTATTTGAACTGACCCCTTTGGCCTCGGTAGAAGCCATTGTGAGTTTAGTAGTAAGACATTCTTTAGAAGTATTCGTTCCGTTTAAAAATATAAGGTATTTTTTAAGAAGTTAAATGTTAAAAAATGTAAGGCACTTATAATTTTCGAAATATAATTATTTCCTTGTTTTCAAAAGTACTCTTATTGATAATGATTTTATATTTATTAGAGAGTGTTTAACAGGGATAAATATGAAAAGATAGAATTAGTTTGAAAATAGGTAACTACTTTATTAGAAAGTGAAATTCAATTAAAAATGATTTACATTTTTAAACGGAGGGAGTATATCTTATCTGTACTAAAATAAACAGTGACATGCAAATAAAATAACATTAGAAATCTCATGAAAGGATCTTTGTCAAATCTACACAAAATGTCTGAATAATGCATCACCAATTAAACCAACAATCAAGTTTTGCTATGGTAGTCACGCAATTAATCCTTGTTGCAAAGCATATCAACACATATACATGTGATGAATTACACCTGCAATGGAATCAATGGAGGAGAAAAAACACAAATTGAATGAAGAGGGTTTGATATATAAGTTCTTTTGAAAATGTGTACAATAATATTGTTGGATAGTGGGTATAAAATCTGTCATCATCCATTGCTGTCTATTTCTCAGTGCTACAAGGAATAATGAGTTTCTAAAAGAAAGTGAGGGGGGAAGAATTAAATTTGATAATTGACACGCTGGGAAAAAAAGAATCATAAAAAGAATTTTTATGGATAGTCCCACATAATTCATCCACTAGCAACTATAATAAAGACATCCATCTTTGAAAGAAAACTAAACAACTTGATATTATAAAAAATCTGGTACCAAGTATCTACCAAGTCATAAGAAAGCTAAATTGGGTTGGCTTCATTTCCAACAAAAGTCCTCAAACTAAGATATAGAACCAGTGCTCCTAAACATGGTAATTACCTACAGATACTAGACTTTCAGCATATTTGAAAATGCCTGAAACTCTATATCTGTGAATAAAATTTTTTTCCAATACATGAGTTCTAAGATTTAACAAAGATAGAACAGTGTGCCTTCCATTGTTAGCTTCACATTCACTTTCTTCAGATTCAGATTTATACAGATCTGTAACGTCACAGACAATTTGATCCATCCAAATACAGCGTGGATACCAGGATAAACATGTGCTTATAGTATATTTCTTACTCCAACTACATCTCTGTCCAGATGCACTAGTACGCTCATCCATCAACCAAAAATCAATCGCACAAAGTTCATGGTTCTCAATAACAGTAGCAAGTTTGTTCTCATATGCAGTAAGACAAGGACGCGAACCAAAATATAATGAAGCAGGTGGTGGTAACAATGAAAACACTTCCATTGTTATGTCAAATGCAATTATCATCCAATCATCTTCACTATCATCACCAGGCCAAAAAATAGATCCATTGGCAGTGACAGGGTGAGAATGAAGGCGCACACCCCCAAAGTCCTCAACTTTTACTTCCCTCCATAATCCTGTGCTTAATGAATACACTTCTACTCGATTATCCTCCTGATCAAGCTCTTTTTCACGAGATATCACGATCTTGTAATCATTAACAATTGGACTAAACCGAAATCCTACGTAAAAATCACCGTCATCAAGATTATAAATAGTTCTGGGCACCTTTCTGACTTTTATAGTGGCAGGATTCCACAATAAAAGGGAAGGAAGAGATGCACCACAATAATCAAATATTTTGACACAGAGCAAGCCGTTGCTGCAACCCACGATCTCAGACATCTCCCTCAAGATCAAAGGTGGGGGATGAACTTCAAGGACTCGCATCTCGCAATCGATCATACGTAAGCGCTGATTATCACATTTAGCATCCCATTGTAAAAGAAGTAAAGGGTTTTCATTACTGGAGTGCTGTAAGTGTTCTTCGATGAAAGATGGGGACTTGATGAGATTTTTCCAATGTTTGCAAACACATCGAAATCGGATTAGGGATTTTACCGGAAGGCATTTGAGAATGTTGGTCATGATTTCTTCAGGAAGAAATGGATTGTCGCTATCCATTACCTTAGGCTTCATGGCGTTCGACTGAAAGAGATGAGGAAAGCCTTCGCAATCAAGTATTTAGGGATCGGATGAGGCTATATCCTACAGTCGACGGAGCAGAGCTCTTTGAAACTTGAAAGAGAGGAAAGCATCTCTAAGGGAGGCTATTACAAGATTTACAATTTTATATTTAAAAAAATATATTTATAAATCTTTATACTTTCACTCAATTTTAAGCTAGATCTCTACAATTTATTTTATTTTAATTAAATATTTATAATTTAATTTATCAGATATGTTAAGTTTTAAAGGTTAAAATTAATAATAAATTAATAAATTTCACAAAATAAAAATACGGTTGGAGTTGATAAAAAATAATTTAATTCTTTTAGTCAAAATCTAAAAATATTGATTTAATACATTATTTACATTTTTATTAATTTTTAATGAAGATTCTATATTTATAAAAAATATTTAGAAGACAATCTAATTAAATAAATTTTGAGTTATAAAAACTATGTTATTAATTTTAAAGTCATATAATCATTTAATAAAAATATACAAGTTCTTAATTTTATTTTTTATTGAAGAATTTAAGAATTTTAATTTTGAGGGATTAAAAAATTAATTGATCATATTATAAGGCTAAATTAAAACAAAATAAATTATAAGAACTTAATTTAAAATTAAGTCAAATTGTAAAGACCTATAAATATATATTTTTTATATTTTTACTGAAAAAGTACTTTTTTCATGTATGCCTATTCCCAGCCCAATTTACAATAATAATTTCTTCTAAGATATATAAATAACACATGCATATTTAGATAGTTAGATTTGAATTTTTATTTAGGTTTAAATTTTTATATTTAAAATTTATTTATTTAAAATCCCACACTTTGATTGTATAAGAAACTTAAAAAAGAAAACTAAATAAGAAGGAAACTGAGTCGGGATTTGAAGTAAAAGAAATAAGAGAAGAGGTGACTTAATGATAAAAGCATGAAACAAAAAATAAGATTGGAATGATTGAAATTTTAAATAATTAAGATATAAAAAATAAAATATAATAAATATAATAAATAAATAAAAGATTTGAATTTGATTCAAATTAAATACACAAATTTTTATGTATCAAGATAAGAAATTTAGCTCAAATCCAAATCTTCAATAATCTAAATTCAATATCAGAGATTTTACCTCTCCTAACAACAACTATTTTTATGCACATCTGATCGATAGATCAATTTTTTCGACTAGTATGACTAAATTGTTCAAAAAAAAAGCATTATATATTAAAGCATACTAAAATAATAGTAGTAAGTGGCATCAATAAAGCATAGGAACATATGTACAGAACATTACATCTACAATGGAATGAGACTGTGTAGGACAAAAAAACACAATTTTGGTGAATAGCGCTGTAGTATAGAAAGTCTTTTAAAAAGGTGTATAATATATATTGTTGGGTACAAAATATGTCATTATCTATTGTCATGTACAAACAGGTCAAATACGACAAGCTAGAAAACTATGGTGATGAGTATCTGGAGTCACCATTCTAGATAAATTCTGCAAAAAAATTAATTATTTAATTTTTATAATTTTAATTTAATTATAATTCAATCCCTAAACTTTAACTCATTATAATTCAATTCCTAAAATTTTGACTCAATTATAAATCAATTCTTGAACTTTACCTTTTTGCAATTTCATCCATGAAGTTTCAACCTCTAAAATATTAGTTTTTATATTTTAAAAATTAAAAAAATTAAAAATATTTTAAGCTTTTAATATTTATAAATATTAAAAGAGTTTAGTAATTTAAGATAATAGTAATAAATTTTAAAATATTTTTAATCTTTATAATTTTATTTTTTTAAATAAAAGGACTAATATTTAAGAGGTTGAAATTTCAGGAATTAAATTGTAAAAATTAAAGTTTAGGAACTGATTTACAATCGAGTCAAAACTTCAAAGATTGAGTTATAATAAGTCAAAATTAAAGGATAGAATTACAATTGAGTCATAACTATAAAGACTAAATGATTAATTTTCCTTAAATTTTATACAAGGCATCAAGGAACATAAAACAATAAAAAAATCAAATAGTCTAAATTGTGTCGAATTCATTTCCGCCAGAAGTCCTCCAACAGAGAAAATTGGCAAAGGAATGATTAAGGTTTAGGATCAGTAAGTCTCAAATTCTCAAGTGCTTCCTTCTAGCCTGCCATGTAAGGGTGCGCATTGGTTCGATTTGGTTGGTTCGGTGTCAAATTTTTCAAAACTGATCAACCAAATTACATAAAATGTTTGAATTATAACAGTTCAATTTGGTCAGTCTATTCAATTTATAAGCTCTAAATGCATAAAATCAACAAAACATTCAAACAATAGGAAGCAATCAGAAAAGGGAGATATTTAGCAAGCCACTATTGCAAAGCATTCAAAAATTTAAGAAATCAAAGGTAAAAATCAAGGCTTGAAGAAACCAAAACATTAAATCAACAAAATATTTAAACATCAAAGGCAGAATTAAAAAACAATCATTAAGGCACAAAGTAACCCAAATGACAAATCACAAAGTTGTAAAGGCAGTGAAGTCTCCAAGAGTTGAACCATAGCAACTCAATGAGAAAGGGAGAGAGGGCAAGATGGAAAAGTCTGAGAGAGGTGAGAGATGTGATTAATTAATCATTATTTAACTAATAAAGAGTGACGGCGTTAGAGTAGGAGATCACAACACTGAAGGCACATGAGCTCATTGGTGGCAGAGGTGACGACCTAGGGGAAGGAACTCATCAATAACATTGAGAGGAGTATATGTCAGCTACAAAAAGATGAATGCGAAAGAAAAACAAAGAGCGAGAGAGGCCATAGGAAAAGGGAGAACGTAGTAGAGGGAGTGAAAATATGGGAGTGAGGATTAAATTTCATATATTCTTATTAGCTAGTTTATATATTTACTTTTCTAAGTATAAAATTTAAATAGAATAAAATAAAGTAACTAATAGACTATATATGATTTATAAAGTAATAAATTATTATATAATTCAGTCAATTCAATCTATTTGATTTTAAACTTTATTAACCGAACCGAACCGAACTGATCAACCGAAGTTTTTTTTTTTTTAAAAAAACGAATTGAACCAAAAAACCAAATCAAACATATAAAATTCAATTCAATTCAATTTTTTTTTTTTGTTTCAATTTGGTTTTACTCACCCCTACTATCATGTCTCAGTAGACAAAACAAGGGACTAGAGAATCAGGCTGTATACAAAGCTCATGAACTTTCTAATAACTTTTTCAAGAGAACAACAATGGTTAATACTGAGAGTCTTAGCTGTTGGAACTATGATATCTATTTTGTCTAAACACAAATGGTGAAGTACAACACATAAAATAATATTAGCAAGCGGTATCCTCTCATGAAAGGATCTTGGTCAAATCAAAGCACAAAATATCTGAAGAATGCATCACCAGTTAAACCAAGAATCAGGTTTCCATGGTAGTCAAGTAATCAATTCTTGTTTGTTGCAAAAGCATATAAACATATATGCAAAGAATTGCGTCTACAATGGAATCATTGGAGGAGAAAAAAAAAACACAATATTGGAGAAAGGTATGAGATTATACCTGGTACTAAGTGTCTACCATCACCATTCTATATCCTTCAGCCAAGGAAAAAAGGGATTATAAAGACAGCTATAGAAATCTAAACTGATTTGGGTTCATTTCCACCAGAAGTCCTCAAACAAAGCAAATTTACAAAATAGGATTAAGATATAGAATCAATGCTCCATTATAAATTGTGCAGCAAAATCAGATGATATACTGCTCCGGTTTCATTTATAAAACACATCTTAAAAGATCCATTTGATCCCATTTATAAGTTATAGTACAGTTTTTTAGTTAATATTTGAAAAATATTTTCAAAATTACCCTTTACGAAAGAGAACAAATAACATGATATCACTTTTAGATTTGTTATATAGAGACATATTTAGAATTCTACGTACTTTTATTTCTTGAACCTAAAAATGACTTAAAGAAGACCAGAGGGGTATATATTTAACCGATAACACGTAAATTGAATCCACTGCAGTATAATCGAGTCGCAGAAATTCAAGCATTGATAAGAGAATCTCAGTACAAGCAAACCCGAAAAGGAATAGCAGAATAGAAGCCCCTCTCGTCTTTTCCTAATTTATGATGCTGCCGCTCGTAATTTCCAAGTGGGCCTTCGAATCCTTAAGCTGCGCCTCAGGCCAGTTTCGCCTCTTTGGGCCATAGCATGCTCCTCAACAGTAGTGTTGCGGGCAGGTACAAGACTTTCTGCATAATTGAGAGTAATTGAAAAGTCATTGTCACGTCTGCGATTATCAATTTTTTTCAATTCACGAGTACTAAGATTCAACAAACGTAGGCCTACTTCCCTTCCATATTGGCAACAGACAATTTCATCCAACCAAATACCTTTTGGATTTGTAAATGGGCACGTGCTTATAGAATATTTCCTAGTCCAACTCCATCTCTCCTCAGATGCGCCTGCAACCTCTTCTGTCACCCACAAATCAATCACAGATGATTCACCGTACCCATTCATAAGCCTAGATAATATAGCAAGTTTGTTCTCATGTACAGTAAGATTACAAGAATCAATTTCTGATGGACTGGGTATGAATGTAAACACTTCCATAGCTATGTCAAATGAAACTATCACCTCCTCACAAACCTTAAGATAATCCCGATCCATCTTGTACCCATTCCAAAATATAGCTCCATTAACTGTGACAGGTAATCCAACAAGATTCAAAACCCCAACGTCCCCAACTTGAATTTCCTTCCATGACCCTTCACTTAATGAATACACTTCTGCTCCAGTAATTCTATAACTAACTCCATTACCCTCCAAATCAATCTCAGTTTCACGAGCTATCACTATCTTGTAATCATTCACAATGGGACTAAACCCAAATCCAAATTCATAAAAATCTCCATCATGATTAATAGGTTCAGGAATCTGTCTG